TTCACTTTTCGCAACTGTTCACCACTATTCACACTATTTGAGACTATTCACACTATTCGGGAATATTCGCTATTCGGGTTTTCCAGACACCTGGCTGGTTGAGTGAAAAAAGCCTTCTGCAAATGCTGCGATCGAATGATCGACATTTCAAACATGGGAGAGTCTGCGTTGAAATCGCACATGAAAAGTGAAAGGCACGAAAACAACAGTAGAATTGGAGGTGAACAGCCAGTGACATTATCCTCATTTGCTTTTGTATCATGTGGAAATGGAAATTCAGCTTTTTTGGAGTGATCTGTGGAGAAAATGTGATAATCATGCCTGTGGAAACGGACTCCTTGAACATTGTTAAAAGTCCTTGAAAAGTCCTGGAAAAGTCCTTGAGTAAAAGGCCTCAAACTTGTATGAACCATGTTTTAGCGCTTCTGTAGACTGCAGGCCAAGAATGTTGCATAGGCACGTAATGCGTACAGAGTGTTAAGCTCTTTCCACTTCTGACATGCTTACGTTGCTTCTAACGATTCACTGTTATGATGAGGTACTTTTCATTTCATTTCAGATAGAGAGCATTGATGATCCAGTCCCATCAGTTGAAGCTATCCTAAGAAGGTGTAACAAACAACAGGTAAATAAAATTAAATGAAAGTTAAGTCATAAAAAAAGAAAAAAGAAAACAAAATTTGTACATATATAACATTTGTAAATCAAAATAATGTCATTTATTTGTTATTTTTTTATTGTGGCTATTATCCAACTGAAGTATGTTCTACCACTTTTTTTATTTTCTGTTACTAAGGTAATGGAAAAATACCTTGTTCCTGATTATGCTAATGTACAAGAGTTTCTAGCACATCTTGGTAAAAGACTTGGGAAATTAAAGAAAGGTAAGTTGTTTGTTCGAAGGAATAATGAACTCTGCAAGTCTGGACTTTGTTGTTCAAAAGCTGATAACACTAAACAAAGACTACAATTTCATGTTCATCGATGTTTTTGCATTTCTCTTGACAAGTTTTAATGAAGAGTTTAAAGGGACACAGTCAGCTGTGGGACAGCGCTGACCTGGACGCTAGTTTTCTCACTTTGAAAAGAGTTCACCTCAACCTGAAATCAAAGATACGCGTCGAGTACATCTAGAAATCCGCTTCAATCTTCGCAGTGTTTTGCTTGATTTTCAATCGTTTACTGAAAAACCTGTTTTTGAGTTCGCTTTTGCTCCTCCTATGATATTATTTTATCATATTTGGTTAAAAACAGTATGGATGGCGTCTCTGGGATATACGAATTAGCTATGAAATAGCATCTAATGCGCATGTGCGCCAGCTGACTGTGTCCCTTTAAAAAATTAAAATGAAGTTCTTTAAAAAAAATAATAAAGTTGATGTTTATCTTGGACTGGACTATCGTAATTATACTTTGAACAACCAAGCATTGGATAGTAGTATTGGCTCTTGTAGTTAGCCTTTGTTGGGGTTATTCAATCAAGACTTACAATTTGCAGCAGTAACTCACCTAGCCATAAATTCATTACCCCATAAAATAAAATCTTACTTTCTTAGTGTTATATAACAAGAGATAAAAACTCATGGCATTTAGTATCAGAGGGTAGTTTATGGTCATTGAAACAAAGGAAATCAGCCAAATGCAAGGCTTCTAAATGGGATAACAATTTGCTGCCTTCACAGCTTTGTTACATTTTCGTTTCTGTTTTCATCTAAGGGATATTACTCTATTGTTGATCGTAAATTGATTACAATTTATTGTAGGTGGTTTACCTGACGTTAATGCTGCTGGAAAGATGGTGTTGAAAGACTGGAATAGGTTTGTTATATGTTACATACTGTATAAAGCCAAAACCTGAACTCAGACTAAATTGAACCAACCTGTCAGAGCTGATGTTGGTTTCTGTAGCATGAAGCAACAAACACTGTTGCACCTACTCCCCCTGGATGAGATGGTAGTCCACCGCAGGTAGTTCAAAATGTGATATCAGTTGTGATGACCCTTACAGAAAGGCTCTGTGAGAGTAAAGTAGTTAAACATCATTATCTTGAACTCCGTTATCTTGAACTCCTTACTATCACAAACTCAGATCATTTGCCTTTCTTTCACGTATATACCATCGGCCATCTTGAATCTTTGTTTTTTAGTTACTCTTGGGAGTTTGAGATAGCAGGGTTCATTCTTGTCCAAGACCGCAACAGGTTGACCCTGGGTGTAAAAGGCAACTCAATCATGGCAAGTGCATTAGATTTCTTCCATGCATAGTGTAACAGTGCTTTTGCAAAATATTTTTCTGTGCAAGACGTACATTGGGAAGTACTGAGGGAGTAACTGTAATGAGGGGTTTCTGTTTGTAGAAATGAATGAAATATAAATTTTCCATTTCTGACAGTGGAAAGATTGTATTCTACACACATCCACCAGAAGAACACAAGCTACCCACCCATCTGTCAGCTGATATTGTTAGTAAGTGGAGCAAGGAATTTGATCTGGTGAGTTAGTTATTAAATCCTAAATTAACAAATTACTTGCTACAAATTAAAATAATACTTTCCTAATGTACAATAGTGCACATCGAAATAGCGTGCATGTAATGAAAGCTACATCTACAAAGGTCACTTGTCAAGGAACAAGATAATTATTGAACTCAGTTATCACAAAATATGATCGTGCTTTGTACGTTTCTCGCAGATGAATTATTTGCCTCTGCCTCCAGTATTGGCCAATTGTATTGACTTAAACATTTACAAATAACGATATTATGTGTCCCTCGTGATGTATGCCTTAACCTGCGATCAGGCGTTTCTTTTTTTTTTGGGGGNGAGGGAGGGAGGGTATGATCGCAGGTTATGTATGCCTCTAACACGCCCATTAAACTTGCTTCTCAGCGACTGGCACTAATAATCCACAATTCCAGGTTCTTTCCGTAAGTAACTGCACGGCTTTACAAAAGAACCAAAATACTTGTTTTGTTTGAACAAAGTTATCATGAACAAATAAATTGTTCCTTTTCTATCCTACTGGAGGTGGGGAGGTGGGGGGGGCGGGGGCGGTGGCAGCTTATGAGAGTGAGAAGTCTTGGAGGAGAGGTGTAGAAGTTCTTTTTAGAGGGAGGGGGCTAAATGGAGGAGTGATGGCAGATAGAGGAAAGTTTACCCGCACAAGCATGGTTGAGTAGCTGCCATGTTGTCTCTGGAATTTTTGAAACAGACTGAAATACTGGAGATTTACAATAAATACAGGTGGCATCCTCGTCTCCGAGAGGCGATGGTCAGCGCATCAGTAGGTATATAAGTATTTACAGTCTGTTTTATCACCCAGTTTCCTGATTTATAGGAATGTTGTTCTTTTCGTTTCCAGGGCTCTCTTCAACAGCATGAACGCGCTGAACTGCATGGTGAGTTAACTGATGATTAATTTAGATATTTAAAATCTTAAATGAAGAATTTGTCACAAAGAATAAATAAAATAAATAAAGTGTCTTTATTGTTCAAAAGATAAAATTACATATCTTATGTTACATTTAAAAATAATAATGTTAATGGGCTACAATATGTCTCTAAATAAGATAGATATTTACATGGAAACAAATACAAAAATCGAATACAAAAAGTACACTATTTACAAAGTTACATTGTACTTAAAAACTATCCTATTAAAGAATGTATTCTTGAAACGGTCCGAGTGAATGGCGGGCATTGCGGAAGATTTATTCCTTAAGTTGTATCTTGTAATCTTAGTCTCAGGGAAATTAGCTCTAAGTGGGTGGTTTGGGATATTAATGAACACATTTTATTATTTATCTCGCGTTTTAAAGGAATGATTATCTTTGGTGTCAATTTCCTTATTTTTGAAAAAAGTTCAAGTGTAATTAATTTTGAGAATTTCAGATAACTTAGCTGTGCAACAGGTTGTCTAGCGGGGCGGAAGACGAGCGCAACACATGACCGCGAAACGCGAGGGCAAGCGCGGAACGCGAAGAAGAAGTTACGAAAACTTCGGTCTCGGGTTCCTCGCTAGTGTATCGCACTTCGTACTCTGCCCCGCTAAAGCGCCTGTTCTAAGGTAACATAAGGTAACTTCACGACTGAAACTTCATATTAAATAGAAAATGTGGACTAAAAGATTTACTATTCGGAGAAAATTGGGTTGTTGGCACTTGTGTTTCAGCGAAGTATTTTTGACGAAATTTGAGGTGTTTGGATAGCCGAAGAAACACTGTCTCGAGTGTTTGATATATCTTCTCAATCGAAACAAATACTAAGGAGAAAACAGAGAAATAAAATCGTAAAAATCTATACTAATTTAGTTCCGATATCCAAACAATTATTTGTGGGTTTGAGAAATTTTGTTCCATAACCTGATGCTAGCGTTTAAAATTGCTTAACATGTATGGTAAACCATCTGCGACGTAGCCTTAGCTAAACTCTCAAATTCTCCTTTTCGTGTTTGCAACAGATTATCGAAACACGCGCACTATTTTGTAGTTCTTAAATGCAAATTTATTGTAAGCGTATTTTAAACAAAAGCGCAGGTAAGATTTTGTGGTGACGTCATATTACGTGTAATAACTACGGTCTACGGCTCTTGTCTGTATAGATGATGTCACAATTACAGATTGTGTTGAATTTTCGGCTTGTTTGCAGCGGTTCTTAATTATAGAAAGATAGCTAGAATCAACGCAAAAATTAGCGAAAGTAATAAACCACGTTTCGACATCGTTGGGATGTCGAACAAACGTCGTGCATTACTTTCGCTAATTTTTGTGTCGAAAGTATTCTCTCAAGCCTTACTTATTTGATAGCTAGGATCGACAGTGTAAATAAATAGAGCGTTTTTGCGTGACCCAGTATGATTACTGAGACACTATACTTGGTAGGTCTGCAGAATAAAATGGAGGATGCCATGGTGCTTGAGGCTGGTGGTCCTGTGGATGCCGCAAAGGAGATTGAGGAAGAAGATATGGTATGTTGATACTTAACAACAACAACCATTTTATTTTGCTTAATACATAGAATATCATACAGGAAAAAAATAAACTTAAATAAGCAAAAAAAAAAACTACTCAAAATAGTAAGAACTAAACGAGCTGAGTAGTTACAAGGATTATTACGCTTTAAATAGGTTGTTGGGAAAATAAAGAAAAGAAGAGGTAGAAAAAAAATATAGATATAAATATAAAAAGAAATATAAGTAGTAACAGTACTAGTTATTGACAGAGCATTGTTTAATTAAGAGCGATAGTAACTTAAAGAAAAATACTAAGCTAGTATTATGAACAGTTACTGGGTAAAAAAATAATAAAAATAAATGTCATAACATTTTAAATATGCGTTACTCACTGACCAAGTCCATAGAAACGGGCAAGAGCTACCTTATTCAACGCAAACACAGATTATGGTTATTTCATGTTGTTGTGCAGAGGACAGTTCAGCAATGTATAAAGGTTCATAACGCCCGCGCCCGTGTAGAGCCATTGCATTGCCCAATAAACCTTTTGTTTGGTGACATTCTTGTTGCCAATGCGTGGCAAGCTCCTTCTGAATTGTCGAGATGGCAACAAATTCTGAACTTGACCTCAAGGTCTCAATTAAAGACGCGCTTGTGTTAAAGGAACGCTAAACGGGTATTGGATGGGTCATCAATTTAGTTCCATTTATATATATATTGCTTTGATGTGAATTTTGTTTAATCCGAATTGATTTTTCCTTGTTTTTATTCCGAAGCAAAGGAAAATGAAACTCAGTCCTCTGTAGGAAAAATAGGTGACGGCTGTACATTTTACCGCAATAACATGCCAGCCTTTTAGAAGCATAGAGTACATGGAAAACCATATTTTGGCAATATTTGTCCCTGTGCTTACGACATTGCGACATTGTGTATTTTAGATTTGAAGATGCTTGAACTTTTCAGTGCGTTTTTATTAGCGTTGTTTAAGTTTTCTTTCGCTAAGAATTATGGGTAAATGTTCTAGTCGGCATCGTTTTCTCTACGGAGAATTCGGTTTTAAAACTTTCCAACCTATTTAAACCACATCATATACATGTATTTCTGTTTTGTTTCGTTTTCTTCTCTTTCTCTACCTATATGATCGGTAATAAATGTTTTACTTAAAAGAATAGGAAATATGTTATGCACCTCGTGAATTTTTTTGGTTTAATGAAGGAGTCTGATGACGAAGAAGAAGAACACTTGGAAGAAGAAGATGATGATGATGATGATCAAAGTGATGAAGGAGAAGCCATGGAAGATAGTGATGACGAGCAGGTATCAACGTCTATTTCCTCTCCACAGTGTTAACATCTCGGTCAACAGATTGAAAAATCAAATTCTCAAACTTTGGTCTAACCATGTTTTTGGTCTTTGTCTACTTCGTTGTTCTCACAAAAAAGGTTCTTATGAGAGAAAAAAAAAAAAAGATAAGGAAAAGGAAAAACCATGTATTCTTTTAACAAATGGAGTTGTTAATGTGTTTGTGTACTGATTCATAGGCGGAGAAAGATGGCATGACAGTTCTTATCAAGAAATCAAAATCCATCGCGCACTCTAAAGACGTCACAAAATCTCGTGAGAAGACCATAGTTGGATTAAACGCGGATGAAATGAACGAGTTTAATATGCAGACCAACAAAGAAAGGAAAAAGGTAATGTAGACGTGACATTTGTTGTAAAGCCGTCTTACTACTAAAGGATTCTGATTTTATTTCTTTGTCGTTTTTATTTTGTTCACTAGATGTTTAAGAAGCAACAAAGAGACAAGCGGAAACGAGGTGAGTAGTCAGTTACCTGAGTTTTTGTTTTTCATGGGGCATGAAAACGATCTTCTGTGATGTCAAACAATCTCCCATGATGCCTAACAATCTCTTATGATGCCAAGCAATATCCTATGACATCAAACAATCTCCTATGATGCCAAACAATGTCCTGTGATGTCAAACAATCTTCTACGATGTCAAACAATCTCCTATGATGCCAAGCAATATCCTATGATACCAAACAATCTCCTATGATGCCAAACAATGTCCTGTGATGTCAAGCAATCTTCTACGATGTCAAACAATCTCCTATGATGTCAAACAATATCCTATGATGCCAAACAATCTCCTATTATGCGTATTGAATAATCCTTACCGCTGTCCACTTGTTTTGAGAGTTTTCACTCTAAAAACGCATCAAATGTTTTCTGTCCACACTACGCCGGAGAAATTGGAAAACGCAACAATCAGCGGTCATCTTGGATTCGTGTTTTAGAAAAACCGTCTCTATTACATGATTGTCGTTTTCACAATGTCCACACCAAAACTCAAAGCCGGCGTTTTCAAATTCTGTCCGGTTTGAAGAGCGTTTTCGAAAACGTCCGTTTTCGCGACGGAATATTGTGGACGGTTGGCCTAATCGTAGAAATAAAGCTGCGTTGTTACATTACTCCCGCGTAGACTGGACGGGGCCTGAAATAGAGCCGAAATATTGTAAAAACCTTTTTGTATTCTGAAAATTAAACTAAGACTTGGTTTTCATTCATGTTAGCAATCTTCGGGAGCATGCATTTTATATTTAGCCGCGATGTCGCAATAACACTTCTCACTACTGGTCAGAAGCGCGATTTTCGCGCGTGGCTTATGTTGCAAGCTCGTTGCAGAAAAATCGTTCCCACAGCCCGCGATCTTTGTGCTCAGCAACAAGAACCAGCCCTTGGCTTGACTAAAAGAAGGCCAAATCTCATTGAATTTAGGGTCTTTTGGTCATCGCCGAACGAAATTGCACGGGCTCTGAAGGCAAGATTGCAATAGCTGTTGTGGTCTAGATTCTTGCTGACACTAGCACTCGAGGAACACATCAGTCAGCTACTTTTTACGTGTTAATTGCGTTATTTTTTTAATAGCAGCGGCGAGTCATACAGAAACCATGGATGAAAGTGACGATGATTACAGCTTTGATACTGACTTCAGTTGATAAGGACATCGGAGGCCTGGACATAGTGCATGACAATTATTCACCTGGACCAATACAGGATTGAAGCCGAGAAGCTCAAGATGATTGAGAAAATCTTGCAAATGTCGCCAAAATGTTACCTAGAAGTGGTAATTTTTAAGAGGTTCATTTTAATCGAGAGACTTTTTATTCTGTATTTAAATACCTGTGAAAAACAAAAATTTGTTCTAGATGAAATATGAATTCGCGATTCATCATACTCTGAGTTAGTTATTGTTGCTTTTGCGTCTCATTGTCATTACTTCTGGAATCACCCACATTGTCAATGTCTACATCCTTATGGTAACATATGTGAAGAATTGCCAAGAAGACAAGCTCTCCTCTCTCATAGTACTGCGAAGAGAGGTTTTCAATCCCTTCCTACCGCTATAGTTACTTTCAGCAGCGCGGGTTGACACAGCATATGTAAGAGCCACATACATTCCTGGATAAAACTGGGGGCTAGTCACAAGTAGTTGGTAATCGAGAGTCTCGTGAAACAGTTTTACAGACCTCTCAGAAACAGACATTTCAAGGGGTTTGAAAGGTGACGTCTATGTGTTGTGATGGGTGATGGTTTTCGATCTATTTTGTTTTTGGTTTTTGTTTTTTTGCCTTTTTCATTTCGTTACTCTCGTAGTGATGAGTGATGGCAGCGTAAAACGTAAGTTGCGTTTTGAACTTCATGTCAAAAAATCAGACGCAGCCACGTAATGAGAACTAGTGAGACAATCTCAGATAGTGCAGAGCGCAATTGATAGCTCTGATACAGTAGTCCCATAAGTACTCACCCCTGCTCGGTTCACTTCCGGTTTGTGTCTACCTTGGTAGTCTGCTACGGCTTTTCCCCTTTGCAGTGTACCTTAGTTCCTTAGCGGCAGGCAACCCCCATAACCATCCCAATAGTGCACTCTGCACTAAAAACCAGAGACCCATGGAAGAACTCCGTCAAACCGGCTGATTTATTTAAAGAAGCTTTTCACCAATAAATTGAATTTACGAAAATGGTGTCAATGAAATGTTCTTTCCTTTACAAGTGGGCTACATACCTTGATTTTACGAAACCGGAACCTAAAAATCACTCCAAGCGATTTAAAAAAAAAGTAAGAAGAAGAAGAAAGGAGAGTAGAGGAAAAGGAAAGAACTGACAGCCCTTTGAATTTTTACATCATAATCATAATCATAATCATAATCAAATTAAAACTTATATAGCGCAATTTTCCATGATAATAATCATAATCATAATTAAAACTTATATAGCGCAATTTCCCATGATAATAATCATAATCAATTAAAACTTATATGCGCAATTTTCCATGATAATAATCATAATCATAATTAAAACTTATATAGCGCAATTTCCCATGATAATAATCATAATCAATTAAAACTTATATAGCGCAATTTTCCATGATAATAATCATAATCATAATTAAAACTTATATAGCGCAATTTTCCATCACGTACATGATCAAATGCGCTTTACAATTAGATAAAATGATTGAAAATAAGTAAAATATACTAGTAATTAAGATTGATAAAATTACAAGGTGAACAATAACAATTTATAGCAAATTAAAAGCCTGTTTAAAAAGATATGTTTTAAGATAGCACTTAGAACTTGAAAGAGAGTCAAGACTGGATATGCTACTCAGTAGATTGTTCCAGAGCTTCGGGGCCGCATAACAGAAAGCTCTTCCTCCAGGTGTTGTGAGTATCTTGCCACTTGGAACCTCAAGCATAATTTTTTGGCATAATTTTTAAGCCTTTGCGATCAGCCATTTTAGGGACCGTCGAGGCGAAAATCGTTTTCCTCGATTTTCTCGAATTTAAAGCGCTTCGAGCTCAAAAAAAGTACATCACGTTTCATGTCTACCTAAGGGCTATTTGTGGATAAAAAGAGAAAAATCAATTTTTCGACTTCTGCCATCCATTTTGCTAATAATTTAACAGAGAGATCTTTAATTATCCCTTGTTGAAGGTTCACTGGAATATCTAGAATTTCCTTTGTTAAAGTTCAATTATTTTC